TCCCTTCCCTTCCCTTCCCTTCCCTTCCCTTCCCTTCCCTTTTCCCCCATCCCATTCCCTTTCTCTTTCCCCTTCCCTCTGCTCCACATCCCGCTCCGCACCCCGCATCCCTCTCCTCACATCCCCTCTCCTTTATTTCCAACCCACGGAAATCCCCACTGAAAATCCAGATCAATTTTTCCATCCCCCTCTTCCACCTCCACGGAGGGAAAATAATCAAATTAAATAAAGGAAAAGAATAATTAAAAAGAAAACTAAACGAGAAAAGCGCTCCGTCGGACGCGCTCGCTCCGTTTTCAGCCTTTGGTTTCCGCGCAGTTCCGTGCGCTTTCCTCCTCCCGCAGCCGCCGCGCTGTGTCTGTGTGGGAGATGCGCGGGAGATGCGCGGAAGATGCGCGCAGGGCGAGGGGCGGCCGCGCTGTGCTTGGAGGAGGGGTGGGAGGAGATGAGGGGGACGGACGGACGGACGGACTGACGGCCCCGCGGTGCCGCGCGGAGCATTTCGGCGCAGCGGAGTGGAAAATAGACTTTCAACCCTCTTTGTGCGGGAGGGGAGGGCTGCCCCCTCCTCCGCGCCTCAACAAAACTCCGCCGCGTCCCGGCGGGCGAAGCAGAGCCAAACTGCGGAGTGAACTCGGGACGGACCAAAGTGCGGAGAGGCTACGCGCCCGCGCATCAATTTCCTCAGAGCGGCTCCCGAAGAGAAAACAGCGACTTTGGGATTTTTCGTCGATATTTTGATATCATTTTATTATTATTCCCAGCGCAGGGAGGAGCGGGGCCGGGCCGGGATTTAAGCGGGGCTCCGCGCTGCGCGGACATTGCGCGGGGGCTGCGCGGGTAACGGGAGCTCTCCGACCTTTCTATCGCGGAGCGGCGGAGCCGCGGGGCCGTACTGCCGTCCCGATTTTCAGCACGAAAGAAGCGATGTAGCGATTTCCTACGAAACGAGCGCAGCCCGCAGCCCCGCTCCCACAACTTCTCGCCTCGCCGCCGGCTCCAGTCCAGTTTTTCGGGCGCTCTCCTCATTCCCAGCGCCGGCCCCAGCCCCGGCCCTCCTCACCCGCAGGTGAGGGCCGCCCGGGCGGGGAAGGGCGGGGGGTTGGGGG